AAAGGCACACATGCATCCTTGTGCATGCAAACATGGACCAAGACGGAGCACAGAGACAGCTGTCCTGTCAGCCTGTGTCTAATATAGACAGACAGTGGGTGAAGAAACGATTGGACGCAGTGAGACATCCATTCAACTCACGGGGGGTTGAGAACATCGGGATGATGATGAACTCTATTTGTACTGGGCCCATAGTATTAACTTGTGTCCGTGGACAGGAGAATTACAGCCTGCTTGGGTTTCTGAAGTAACATATCAACTGAAATAATAGATCGAGAGCAGTTCAAAAACTGCATCTTCAAAGTCTTACCAAAAACTCAAATGTATGGTTTCAAAGACATTCAGTGAAAGCATTTTCATCCACACCCATACATTTAATGATAATATTATTTAAGAAATACTTAAACCCATATTGTATTTCTTACTAAGGGGTAATTGTGTAGATCAATATCACATTAATGTATTTACTGTAAAGATGAAGCTATAGCAACAAGCAATCCTTTTAAATATCTGATTTATAAAACCTTTAGTTTATTTTAATGAAGTGTCCAAGAGGGAGAATATATTCATTTTGGCACACAAGAGGCAGAAAACGTAAGAAAAACATGTTCTCTACAACCCCTTGAGAGGTCTCAACCAACAGGTTGAGAGCCACTAGACTGAACAACATTCTTGCTACTCAACAATTCATTTATCTTCCCTTTCCCAGATCCATACACTGCAGGATTCACATGTAGGACACTTGACACACACTTGACACACACACACACACACACACACACACACACACACACACACACACACACACACACACACACACACACACACACACACACACACACACACACACACACACACACACACACACACACACACACACACACACACACACACACACACACACACACACACACACACACACACACACACACACACACACACACACACACACACACACACACACACACACACACACACACACACACACACACACACACACACACACACACACACACACACAGAGAGAGTGTGTTTACGCAGACAAAGTTAAATCTCAGAGCAGAAATCCTGGGGGCTTTGTCTTTGCCAGAGGTTCTCCCAGCCCCCTTCTATCCCTGGATCCTTCCTCGTCTTTCTGAACCTAGGTGAAGGTTACATTTTAGGGACTTAACTCCAGCTTGGCCCCTCAGGACTGTCTGTCTCCCTTTGGTCTGTTTAGCTTGGTTTAGGCCAATTTACTGCCTGCAGTTATAATGTTACCAGTGAACTGTCAAGCCACCCTGAGAATATTCCCACAAAAAAAAAACGATGGTTTCTATGATCCGCAGCTTACACTGACATCAATACTTAAAAAAACAACTAGTGAGAAGGACCTGTGTGATGGCTGCCAACCGTCCTTATTGACAAGTGATGACCATTAGCTTAACTCTGTTGTTGACGTTGGTTAGATGTGATGCCTCATCAGTCAGTCCTGTACGCTTTGGATGATTCCCAACCAAACCTGACTCAAGGAGCTGTAGTCAGGTCTGGGAAAACAGCCGCCACCGGCCCATCCACACTCAGAGAGCGGCCCAAAAAAACTCCTCTTTGTCCGAACCTGTCAGCGCGATTGAAGGCCTCCTGTCTGTGATTGATGACCTGGGTTTCGGCGTATTATTGAAGCCGCCGACACATGTTGGCTCTGTTGGCTGGGACTTGTCTCTGCCTTATTTAGTTTACATTATTCTTATTATTTCTCTGACCAACCCAGCTGTTGAGTGCATGCATGTGTGTGAGTGTGTGCACGCAGGGAGGGGTTTTCCATGCCCTCAGTTGTCCAGGTATGTGTAATGAAATCTTAGGTTCTGTTTTGAGAACCCTCGGAGTTCCAGTCCTTTCACATTTGAGGTTTTTCTCCCGTCTCCCCTTCCCTTTCCTTTCACCCATGTGTACTCCCATGGTCCACCCAAGGTTACCTACAGCTTAATTTGGACCACTTTCAAAAAGTAAAATAAACATAGGTTTTAAAAGGTGGGGAACACCCACCGTCTTGACCACTTTGTGTACAAAAGCAGAAAACAGTTATTGTAATTGCAGAAAAACTGCGCCTATGTGTTCAATTCAAGCCTTTTCAGCTCAAACTTGAACCTGGAAACCAATAAAGCCACAGATGTTGGCACTCAAGACAAAAGGCGCTTATCTTCCAATTTCTTGCCAGTAAGAATCATGTGCTCAGAACCGGGGCAATCGTTAATTAAACTTGATCTTTACAAGAAGTACAAGAGAACTACTGTTGTGTTGTTTAAAGCTGCATTACACAGGTGGAGGAAAGGAGGAGCAGCTGTTCGCTCAAACAAATGTGAGCGCCATCACGCAAACACACCTCGTAAAACTTTAGGGAGTGAGCACGAACTCTCAAACAGAGACGTGCTTGTGTCTGTGATAAAGGGTGGTTTAGAAAACTGTTCTGGTTGACTTTCAGATTGTTCATCTTAAATAATGTTGACATGATTCAATTGGACAAAATACTTCTCAAATATGATCAGTTAGTTATCTTAAGTATTACTTACAGGCTAGTCACTCAAATTGAAATGACTGACATAAAATACTCATCACCCGCTCTATGCCGTTTCAGCATATGATGATGTGACTGATGTGTGTTGACAAGCAGAGGAAGGAGCTTGTGCAGCACTTAGGCGGCCAGAGATGTGCTAAACAAGAACGAACACTTGAGTCTTTGTCGTTTGTTAGTCTGATACTGATAAAATGACACAGACAGTATTCAATAGGTCAATGTTTCTACAATATGATGTAATACAACTAGGGGCTTTATACAAGCAACTGTATTACTGAAAATAATGTCAGATGACACATTTTCGATGCTCTGTGTCAGATGTGGTTGACTGCAGGAATAAAACAGAACAAGCCTTCCTCATACATACATGTAGCAATAACGACCAGAGCAAATACTCTATACAACCAGTGCATTATATAAACTAAGAAAGTGTTGTATCCCCTGAAACGGTCTTCTGATCCCTAAATCCTAATCTGTGTATTCTGGCATGCCAACGTGCACTTGTATGAGGCCATTCATGTGTGACAGCAGATCACCATGTGCCGCTACATAGAGGTAATTAACAGCTGTTTGCTCTACACCTGCAATAACAATCCAGGCTGTAGCAGGTTAGCTAGCTGCTACGCTCTTTCTCTTTCTTTTGATTGTAATCCGATACAGCCTCTCCTCTACGTAAATCTCTAGGAGCCACCGAAAAAGGGCCAGACTTGGAAAGACAGGGAGAGGCCACTCGCTACTCAGACTGAACAGAAAGCGTAACTAAAGATGAAGGACGAATGAGTGATCGGTGTGGATAACCCGTTTTCCTGCTGAGAGTTGATTTGAAAAGCAGAAAAATACCTGGATGAAGTCTTTGTTTGAACTGTAATGTTACAGACCTATTTGCAAGGTTGCAAATCAATTCAACGGTATAAATAAGAATGATTTTTATCAAGCTGCTGAAAGTGTTGTTTTTCTGCATGGATAATTAAGAAAGTCTGTTTCTGTATCCTTCAGTGGTGCCAACTGTTAAATAAACAAAGCCCACAAAAGAAGTTACTCCCGATTACAGACACTGCTGAGGTAGGTCATATGAGGCTGAAAGCCAATCACTCTAGCTTTCCTTTTATAGCTATATTTATAGCTATAAAGATATTTTCAAAGTAACATAAGACACCCAAGAAATCTCCAAAAAGGACAAATGATCGCCAGTCAAACTGCAGGAGATCTGGTGAAAAATAAGAATAAAAAACATTCAAAATGTCACTGGAGAAAGTCTGGAAAATTCTGACAATTCGTGCCAAAATACTATACTGCTTCAGTGAAGAACAACAGCTGTCACGTCAAAAGTATCCACCAGGGATGTGACGAACATATATAGAGCAAATAGGCCTACTGGCTGAACTGACACGCATGCTACAGTAACATGACGCACCTTTTGTTTTGCAATAGTGATTTAGTTAATCCAACGTTAAAGTCCTTTTCATGGAGCGTTGACATGAGTTTGTCACCCGTCACCTGCTTTGGCTGGCTTCCTCCTGCGAACAATGTGGAAACCTGACAAGGATTGTGATGTGAATGTGTGTGTGTTTCTAGCTTGTTTCTAGAATAACCAGTGCGCCATTGGATGCCAAACATCACAACAGAAGCTGAAAATAAACTCATATGAACTCAAAAAACACTGCACAGCTAAGGTGACAGTGTTTGTACTACCCCTAAAAAGGTCCTTACACACCGAGCCGATTTTCGACGTCGATAGATGTCGGGCCGTCGATGAGCGTCGTGTCGCCCTACTCAGATTGGTGTGTACTGCACCGTTGTGTCTTTTCGGCCGTGCCGAGACGTTCCGCCGCCGATTCGACATGTTGAATCGGTAGGCTGTCGGCCAAAGAAATCACTCTGATTGGCTGTTCAGTTTAGCGAATCAGTGCATGAGAAGCGAAACGGAAGTGAGGGACCCAAACAAATTATTAAGAAGGCAAATCTGAGATTTCATTTAACTCCAGCTCTCGACACAGGTTCGGGAAAGCCCCATGAGCTTCTCGTTGTAGAGTGAAAATGGAACGCACACGCTATTTGTTGTTTGTTTGTATCACGCAGTCTGTTCTTCTTCTCTCGGTGTATAACGCAGTCCGTCTTCCGGTTGTTGCCTCTTTTGAATGACGAATACACACTACCGACGCCTGCTGGTAAGGAGAGTTATTGCCACTCATGCATGCGCAGTTCGTACGTGCAACTTGACCGTCGGCTGCAGTCTCTGCGGTGTGTTCCAGTGCGAAACATGGCCAAGACGCAGAGACGTGAGGTGACGTGAGGCGACGTTCAGGCGGGACGTGTTCTTTGGTGTCAGTTTGGTGTGTAAGGAGCTTAACACTCAATTATGTCCTGTTGTTCCAGGATGTGCCAGCGTCTTTAATTAAGGGATTAGTGGTGCTAATAAGATATGTCACCCAGAGGGCGGACTCACCTGCTCTGATCTATGTAAACCCCTCTTCTTTTGAATATTCACTGCATCCTCCTCCTGAAATGCAAATATCTGACGTCAGCGCATTTCCCTGCAGATGGCCTCACCGGTACCTCTTTAAATGCCCTCTGCCCTCTCCCGAATCTATGGGGGAAAATGCACACATGAAACCCATTTCACAATCTGTCATCAAAAACACAGGGCTAAGCAACAGGAGAAACACGAACACGACTGAAATTGACTGCATCTGTTTCTCCCTCTCCTCTCACAGTCTGAGTGGCACTTGCTGTCACTTGCTATTTAGCGGACAAGCGCAAGTTCAATTGCAGAATCAGATACGGTGCAGAGTAAGGTCTTCTGTAGAGCAGACGTGAAAGAATTCAGAACAAAGCTTTTCAGATCCATCTGTTGAAAGATCAAACTGTCGAGGGAGAACACATTGATATGTTTTGAGTGCGGCAACACACAGAACCCCTTCTTCACACAGATATAAAGAAATATAAACATTAAGCAAATGTCACAAAACATTCTCCGGTAACCTTGAGCCAATATTGTATCAGCAAAATAACACTCTGAGTCGCAGCTGGGTTCTGCACTGAAATAACACAGCAAAGACTTTCGACTCTCCCACTTTCCATTTCAGCTGAAACAGGTGAGTTTCAGAGCTATTCTGGGTGACCTGTCTTTTCTTAATAAACCTTTAAGTTAGGGTGTAATTATGTGCTGACATCCAGCCTGCTACCTGCTTGTCAGAGGTGTGTGTGTGTGTGTGTGTGTGTGTGTGTGTGTGTGTGTGTGTGTGTGTGTGTGTGTGTGTGTATGTGTGTGTGTGTGTGTGTGTGTGTGTGTGTGTGTGTGACAATGAGAGACTCTGAATTGTAACATTTGCTATAAAAAACGTTTTTAAAAAACACAGTTCTTGAAACATATGCATCAACTTCAATCAAACCTTCAACAAAAGTAATTGCATGAACTGTTGTTATCATCTGTTTTTCACATGCATGCACACACACATACCCTCACACACACAGCTGCCTTTTATTTGCCAGGATCCAGCCGCAGATGGTGATACAGTGTGAACTTTAACACGCGGATTCTTGACATTCTTTACGGGTGTGAGTTACTCTCCGACTCAAAGCGGTGCTTGGCCTCGGCCCTCTTTGCTTTCCTGCCAGCAGGTCACTGTCACACAAGGAGTCCCAGCCAGCCTCTCCCAACATATACAAGTTGCTATTGTCCTTCCTTACGTACAGTAGCTCTGAATGGGTTTGGCTCCTGACTGTACTACAATATGCAGCTTTGTTGGAGCTTTGTCAGCATATTCTGCTGTTTATGATGGGTCCTGTAGCAGCAAGTTCATTGCTTAATGTAAAAGGAATGCTTATTAAACGATGCAGCACGCCTGCTCAGTGCTCACTGTTGAAATGATAAGGCAAAAAGATATGGGTTCACTCCACTAACAGTAACAATGATTTCTTTGTGCTGCATTTAATGCATGTTCCCAAAATGTCCTCATACCCCTGTTTTACAAAAGACTAATAGTATCCTATGATTTGTTACTACCATTTTGTGTAGAGGTGTATACGTGAGCGTAGGAAGTCATAATGTATTATCCATCGCATCCATTAACCTCTAGTTTATAACAAATTAAGCATCTATAAAACACATATAAGTCCCATCTTTAATATTTTAAAACTGGTTATTTGTTGGACTTTGTTAGATACAAATGTCTAATCTTTCATACACATGAGCATACATTGACAAGCACTGTACTTATCTGGTGACTGACTCATATGAAATCAAAGCTTCTGAGAGTTTCTAAAATGTACTACACTCTTATCAGATGTTGATCTCATTCATTTCCGGCACTCCAGTCGGTAGACGGAGCCTGTGTCTAGCCTGATACCTCACAGGAGAAAACAGGATTGTATTATAGTCGGTGCGGTTTATTTTACATAGCCACATGCTCGGCAGAAAGTCAATTAGCTTGCCACTTTGGAGGCAAATTGCTGCCGCAACGGCAGTACGATCAGGAAAACATACGCACAAAACACACACAGATCAGAACTGCCAAATACAACCTTAACTGCAGGAGAATCAACACTCTTGATCAATACAGCTTTTAGCTTTGGATTCACTTTCTTCACAATATTATTTGTGAATGGATTGTGCATTAGGCAAGTGAAACCACTCCAAAATATATTTGAGAGTTTATATTGAACATTTGTCAATACGTTTCAGTTTTACATCCAAGAAATTGCAAAAAGCATGTGCTATTACATTAAATTCATAGGAATTGTTATAAAAGATGAAAAACAACAGTTAGAGTGCCTGAGAGCCTGACTCACCCTCCACACATAGGACATCGGAAAGCATGCTGTCACTGTTCCCAGACAAAGCTCCAGTACTTCTGTTTCTCTGGAAGAAAAATAAGTGGAGTTATTAGAAGCAGCTCATATGTCTGCCATCTATAGCTGAAAGGACTGAGACTACATTTCAAGCTCAGGTCACTTCCCCACTTTGACTTTCACCGAATCTTGCAAAGTACCCCTTATCCTCTTCTGTTCTTCGATCTTCAATCACCCCACTCATCATTTAACTCTCCTTCTTTTTTTCTGCCTCTGTGTCTAATAACAGGATGTCGGCTCTCTCTCACATGGCTGCTGACCTTCCAGGCAAAGAGCAGAGCAGCTTGCAGCTTGAAGTAATTCCTGTTGCCTTCATTTGTCTCTCATCAGCAACTATAGATGAAACAGAGAGCGGGGCTGCTGTGCTTAGCTCTGAATGAATTGACATAGAGCCTACAGGTAAGAAGAAGATTATTCCTAAGTGGAACAAGATCAGTTGCATTACGTCTGTACTTCCGAGCTGATGGGAGCCAGAGGCGGTACAGGATAATACTCTCAGTGATCAGTTTAAATCGAAGCTGAAATTCAAACTTAAGTTAACTTTGCCACAAAAGGATTTCCCTGACTATGGTCAAGAGAAAGACCACAATACTTTATAGTGCAAATGCAAGCACAGGCCTGAATCACAGGCAGCATTTGTGTTGACAGTGTTGTTGTTACAAAGAAAACATGGCTGTGTCTTTCCTTTGGTATGTATGGGTGTGCATGGGAGATCTAGCCTAGAGTGTAAGTTTGTTGGAACTGAACAGATAACCACAGGCAGAAATCAGAGAATAAATGACAGATGGAAACGACACACCTTCGGAAAGCCTTGATATAATGTTTGTTTCTCTATCAGTGGAGAATAAGAAACTAAAGGAAATATCCTGGCAGATGGTAAAGACATTGAACAAAGTCCACTGTGACAGTTTGTCTGTTGAAATACTCCACCATTTGATCCGTCTGACAGTCACTGTGCTCATATTACATGACAGACTGCAATGAGCTGTGAGGTGATAAACTCAAAACTCCAGTATTACTTTTCTTCTCCACTCTCTCTCTTCAATATCTAACATCTTTCAAAACTTTCTGGGAAAAACCTCCCCCCCTCTGCCCTCACATACCCGCTCATTACCTGTCCGGTCCGAAAATACTGCTCCCATTGAGCTTGTTAATATGCACTAAATATCTTTGCTCTGATTGGCTGGACTCATTTCCTGTAATTATAAGGAAGGAAACTGGGGTGATGGGTCGCAGCTTGCTATGCTTAGCCCTGTGGACAAACCCAGACTCAGGCCAGTATCTAGCTATATCATAAGTGTTGTCCATGTGTTTATGTGCATTAGAGAGTTAATAACCGAGTGTGTGTAACTGTGTGTGTAGATGCCTTTGTGTGCCTGAAGCTGCAGGTATATGCTCAAATTAGCTCCTGTTTATAAAAGGACAGATGTTTTTGCTACATATATGTGATGGTACTTCTGATGTATTAGTGGAAATGCCTTGTTTGATCTGACTTTTTAGTATAAAGTGTATTTTAACATAATCCATTCAATAAGCTTTACATGTTTGAGATTTGTTTTTCAGGAATACTATTGTCCAACATTGTACTGAATACAGAGCTCTGTAAGGACTATATCTTACAGGCCTGCCTTCATGCTGCAACCATAACACTATCGGTAGGTTTCACAGATGCACACACACACACAACACACACTCTGTATTAGCTATCATTGCTAGAGTCCAACAAGCTGTAACACTCAAGTCTGTGGTAGAACACAAATGGCTGCCTTTCCATGCACCCTCACTTGACATGCCATGCCCAGCGTGTGAGCCTAATGACGGGCGTTACTCCTGCCAGGGGCAGAGCCAGGGCAAAGGCTGGGTGGTGGTTTGATCACTCACTGTGTGTTTAATATTACCCAAAGACACTCACTCAGCTCTGCTTCAATGAGCTCCTCTGTCCTGTGAAGTCAGAGGATGGTTGTTGCTCTTAAAGACAACACCACATACCTGCATTAGGTGCAGCATGTTGTCTCACTCTGCCCGCAGATGCTGATGTAAACGTCAGGAACTCATTGATGTAACAGAGATCAACTGGTTCACTGACAGTCTGATAAACTGCAGAGCACAGAATTGTGTGCCATGCATTTAACAGTCAAACGCTGCCTTTGACACCATGCCACTATACACCTTAATTTGTAAGCTTGCTGCCAAACATGAACACACACAGTAGGTTTTTCCTTGTAAAGTGTTTAACTCCCTGAACACTGATGATCATTACCAGAGTTGTAATTGACAGTGAGCAACAGGGCCTGCCTCCTATAAGTCAATTAGTAAACTTATTTGATTAGTCATTTTGTGCTAATGACTTATTTCCAAGAAACTTATGAGAACACTTCTCGTAAACACGAGATTTAGAAGTCATGCTTAGTACGATTCTTCTAGGGAGAATTTACAGATCTGTCAATTATATCAACTATTTAATTAGACAACAACATGTTATGAGTGTTAGACAAGGACAGCCCAAGAATCATAAAATAATAACATAAACATGGGTTAATCATAACATGGAAGCACCAGTTGGGAAAACAATCTCACTGCAAGATCAATAGTAGCTTAAATGAATATTAAATGATCCTAATTAGATTAAATGGCCCAGTTTAGAATAACAAACATTTGGAAAATTGAAATCTGAACATCTACAATCCACTACCAACTGGGCAAACTTCATTAGGTGATTAAGATCATGTGATAGGATCAACATCTCTAGAAAAGCCACTCAACAGATGTTGAGAAGAATTAACTAATTATATTATGTTTCACAGTCAAGAATGGCACTAGAAAACGTATACGTATGTGAGATTGTTCCTACACAGAAATTGTTCGACTCACTAAGTATGTTGTTATTATTGTAAACAAACCAAACTCCATCCTATCCTAACGCAGTTTAGAAGCGATAATCTCTCTCGGGTCAAACGTTAAATTGTACTGAGTGGCGATCCTGACACCGATAAGTGATAAGCATCATCATCCCCATCATCATCATCATCACAGACTCTACCAATAACACGGTTGGGGGTCCCGCAGCTGCTGCCATCTCCAAACTCCGGACAGGCAGCAATAAGCACTTCGGTTAAATTCGAATCGACAGCAGCACGGAAAACAAATTACGGACCCCTGGTTTCAGGGAGGAAAAGCTTGGTTATCATGAGACTGCAGCTGCGGCGCAAACCTGTTTTTATTGTGAATTAAAGTATGCTTACCGTGTCCTTCTCGCTTCAAACGCAGCTCGGCAAGATCCCAGTTTGTGTCGATTTGATCTCTACCGTGCTCCGTTTTGTTTGCATGTGTGCCTCTGTCTTGTGGTAGACTTTTCCAAGTGTACCACGCGTTATTTGAGGCTGCTTCAGTCGCGCGTCTTCCTGCGGACAGCTCCCACCTCCGACGTCTTGGAGAAGTGCAGGTAATATCCAATCAGCTCTGCACTCCAGGTACATTTTCCTTCCATAGACTCGTAAAATAACTCAATTTACTCAACACTGTATGCGTTTACTGCTCTCCCTCATGAATAAATAACCTGGAGTGAATTCCTATATTGGCATTTATGATCCAAGTCTGTGTGACAGGTGGGTGTTTCTCCTGTCCCGGTGGAGATGTACATTTCCCTCTCACTGCAGGTAAAGCATACTGGTGCCTGTCTGCCAGCCCAATAAACTACTCTAACTAAAGATTTATAATGCACATAAGAACTAAAAATGGATCAGTTATTTGCTGCAATGCTTTCTATGCACTTACACACATTAAAAGTGCAGCATAGCCTACACATCATAAACATATCTGCAGGAGGAAGAGTTGCTTTAAAATGTGTTATTGTCCAAGTCAGCTACAAAGAAAAGGTTTAGATAATGTAGAGTAAACAAGTTTAATAACATACTCAAGAGCTTTGATTGTGGTATTCAGTGTTGAACCCTTTTATTGAAAGTAAAGAGAGGTGTATATGTATGCATTGTATCCAATGTAATTTAGTACATAGACTGCAATGTTCTTTGCGCAAGACAAAGGAAAATGAAATAGATATCGTTTTGTGTTAATTGAATAATGTCATCAAACATAGGACATATTCAACATAAGAAGGTCCTGCCGCACTGCCACAACAGAGGGTCCAGTTCCTTAATGTTTAAGACAAACAATGACAAATATTTGTAATGTAATGCATTTTATTAAAAGGAATGACTTGTATGGAGGTATTTACTGGAAGAATACTTTTCCCCTGAACTGTCGGCATAACAAAATATACATAAACAACACAATCTATTATGGTTTCCTTGTGTTGATGACCAGACTTTTTTCTTAAATATGTTTTTTAAGCATGAAACTTGACCTGCACAGTGTCTAATTTCTTCACTGCTGTACACATTACTGTGTGTGCTTATTTCCACTGGGAATTGTTACATAGCACATTACTTTAAAACAATAAAACAAACAATAATATAATATTAAAATGTCCCATTTTTAGTCTTTTTGTTGCCAGAACACATGTTGACTGATCAAGTCTTGTTTACAAATAAATAATGTCCCCCTTTAATGTTAAATAATCATAATTTCTAAACCTTTCACTAGCTTAACAGATAGTATATTGTTACACATCAATACTTGTTTTCGATATGTGACCCCCGAGGGGCTCAGTAGGTCATTGCTGTAAAATATCCTATTCTGTGTGAAACAAATGTCCATCAAGAGCAAATAAAAAAGCACAAATAAAAATCTTACCAAAAACTTGCACAGAAATGGAACTGGCAGGGGGCCAACAGTGAAATGTACTCCATATTCATCTATAAAACTGACTGACATAAAAATGTAAAAGCAAAAATAAGTTTATAGAGGAACCTCTGACCCAATGTTAGTTCTGAAAACAATTCTGAAAATATTTATCATCTGATTGAAATATAAATTGCGGTTCAACTGACACCAACCAACTCATATTCATGGCGGGCAGGTCAGATGTTGACTGTGTGGGCGTGTTTCTTGCACAAAGGCTTGTCTTTTTTGGAGAAGAACGCCTGACCTTCCAGACTAGCAGAGCAGACCTGTGGAGAGAGAGAAGAGCTGTGTTGTTATTCACATAAAAACTTTTAACTTTAACCCTTTTGTTGCTTTTGAAACCGTCTCCTGGACCTACCGCGCACACAAAGCAGGTGTCATGCCAGGTGGATCCTAGAGCCTCCAGGAACTTGTCCCCCGCCTCGATGGGGAAGTCACATCCGTGGCAGTTTGACCCAAAGAGGTTATAGTAGTCTAAATGAAAAGCATGTTGATAAATGTTATTCTGTTCGCACACATGGCTTTATTTACAGCATTGTAATTTACTAGCGTGGGCTTCATAATGAACCTTTTTCACAGTATGGCTGCCCGTCCTCCATGTGAAATGTGTTGCCCCTGATTGGCTGTTGGCAGGCGGCACAGACGAAACAGGACACGTGCCAGGTCTGTTTCAGGGCATTCATGACTTCCTGTGGAGAAAATAGAAGAAATAAAAAAATGAGGAACAGTTGCAGTTGTTAACAACATGATTTGATTTCTTGAGTTTTTGAAAAAACCTGGAGACAGAATTGTTGGGGTTTTGGTGCTTAACCTGATATGTTCTAAGCCAGTGCTTCTCAAAGTGTGGTCCGCGGACCACGGGTGGTCCGTGAGCGCCCCCTAGTGGTCCGCGAGTATATTGGTAACATTTCACATTTGAAATAAATAAATACATTTAAGTTTTCCGCACTCTCGCGGGAATATCTCCGCAATGGAGCGAGCTTAAGTTTCACTTTCGATGGCATGATAAAGCCCAGGGCAACACCTTCATCACACTTGCTGCCACTTGTTTGTACCATTTTCAGGCGATTTGTAATCTGTTCTAGAAAAACGATGCGATTTTGGATATTTGTGGTGTTAGGTGGTCCGCGAGTGTTATTTTATTGGTTAAGTGGTCCTTGGTGTGAAAAAGTTTGAGAAACACTGTTCTAAGCACTTGGTTTCTTATGATTCATTATGCTGTAGTATTGTTTTGTTTGTGTTAACAATCAGTAATTGGTTTTGATTTTTTGAAAAATAGTCCTTATATGAGCAATCAAATACCTTAAGGACAGTAAGAATTGTTTTTGTTTATGGAACAAACACTAAAATGTTTCACGTTTGAATATAAAATTATTTTCTAATTATTGTCCTTTGGATAATATACATGGCTCGCATTTGTTTTAATGGTTACATTAAAGCAACCTCATTCACTCTTTAATAACAATGACTGAATTATCTTTTCATGTTAAGAACAGTCAGGGTTTCCCACACATAGACTATACTTGGACGGGCCGCCCAGGTATATTTCGCGACCCATTTAGGTTTTTATTTTTTTATTATTTTTTTATTTTTGTATTCGTCCGTGACCACGACGCCTTCTGCGATCGATTAACTTGTGGACAATGATCCCTCGCTCCCTTGCTCTGATCTCGCCTCCTTCTGGCCTGTTAAGTGGCCTGCCTCACACAGGGTGACTGGCTGTCCACATGATGTGGCCTGCCGACATGGCCACTGTCATACAGATCATAAATCAAAGCCCTTGATTGGTCTCTGTGTGTCATTCAAGCTCGGGATAACCTCAGCTCAGGTGAGGTAAAGGACTCTCTGAGTGTTTAGATAGTTAACTTAGTCTAAGTTCTCAGTGTGGTCACCATGTATGTAAACACATATTTCCATTTGAGAGGGTAGTGATTGGTCTAATGGATAGTGAGGTGGGCTGAAGATCGGAAGGCTGTGAGTTCAAATCCCACCAGGAACACCACCACTAGTGTGCCCTTGAGTAAGGCACTTAGCCCTTAGTTACTCCAGGGAGAATGTCCCTGTAATCGGTCATTATAAGTCGCTTTGGATAAAAGCGTCAGCTAAATGAAATGTAATGTGATTAGTAAAATATGCATGAATAAATAAATAAAAAGTTAACTAGGTGAAAAAAGATACACTTTTAAAACTTGTTGAGAGAAAACTAGTCTTTGCTGCTGCCTCAAAGAGGAGCAGGGGGGAGAGGAGGGAGACAGGAGAGGCTGATTCAGGAGCACCGACACACTCACAACTATAAATGAACCAAAAATAAATTAATAAACAAGTTTCAGTGTTTTTTTCATATTGGAAATGGTATGTTATTGGTTATGGCCATGATTTTATGATTATTGAAATGTATACAGTTCTGTTTAATATAGGTGTTTCCATAGATCTAGTCTCTTTATCTTCCCCTCAAAATGCACCAGATTGATGCATTTAACTCCAAAATAAAAAATAAAATCTTACCGGGGGGGGGGCATGCCCCTGGACCCCCCTAGAGGATTTGAGGTCGACCCCCACTAAAAATCACATGGATAGGTTCCTAAATACATTTATAAATACATTTATTTAAAAAAAAAATAGTAATCCATTCCCATATGTTCATGTGTGGGTAGTAGATTTAAACTATATGGCCCTGCCTGTACCTGTTCGCTCTGCCATCGCGTGAAGGGTCTGCTAACAAGCGACCAACAGAAAGGTTAATGTTAATGTTGTTGCACGTCACCTCAAGCCCCCCCCGCTACCACCACCCCCCCAAGTATATTTCAGATCTGTGGGAAACACTGACAGTGTTGGATGTTTCTAATGAGAATACATTTTTAGTGCAAGTAGACTACAGAAAATATCAATATCTCTTCAGTTTCCTAACTCACCCCCAGGATCTTCTGTTGGCAGTGGCCACAGGTGGGAGCGAGGAACTGCTCGTAGCAACGTTCGCAGTACACCTGGCCCTTCTCCTCCACAAACCCCCCCACTGCCAGAGAGGAGCGGCAGTGAGCACAGTTGAATTCCTCCGGGTGCCATGACATGCCCATTGCCACGAGGAATGGGCCCCTGTTGAGAATAAGCAATGGACAATGGTTTAGGGGGGGAAATGTACTCAAGTATTATAATAGTAGTACATTGTGGAGACTCTTATTGAATGATATAATCACTGAAACTTTGTCATTGTTACAAAAAATGTTTTATGGTAAATGCCTTTTTTTTAATGTTTTTTACCTGATGACAGTGTTACATTGGTTGCACATGGGGGTGCGTGTCCCGGCTGGGATGTGCTCGGCCCGCTGCACCAGACAGTTGAGGTCCTGTGGGTGTGGCTGAGGGATGGGGCGATCTGGACCTTTGGGAGTAGGGTTGGTAACTTTGCCAAATGAAGGAGCTCCTCCACCCTTAGGAAAACCTAAACCAGTAGGCAAAATAATGGGTCAGTTTTCAAATGGAAAGAAACTTTGATAACACAGAAGCTATTGGACAAATACTCCTTTCAAAACCTTTTTCATACAATGTTCTTCTTCCACTG